CCACCTCACAGGGTGTTTGTTGGGGGAAAAATAGGAGAAGGAAGGAGTATTAGGTATGTTCGCCACCTTGAGTTATTTATAAAAATAATAAAGGCAGGATTAAAAATTTCAAAAAATCAACTTTGGAATTTGCTACCATGAGATGTGGTGCTGGCTACCAGCCTGGCTCTCTTCAGAAGAGTTAGACCAATTCATGGAAGTTATGGAGAACAATGGCTATTAGCCTCGATGGCAGTGTGACTGACTCTGAAGGCCATCTGCTGGGAGACTAGTGGGCTTCCGGGTGCAGTTGGTTGGCTATTGTGAGAACAAACTGCTGGACTAGATGGGCCAGGGGTCCAATCCAGCAAGCCACTACTTATGTTCTTATGGTTTGATAAACATTCATTCCTCACAACATTCTACATACTATCCCACAACTTTTCCACCAGCATTGGATGTCTTCTTTTACTTTCTCTAAATCATACTTTCTCTAAATCAACAAACACTTGTTAAACTTCCTTTCTTACATTCACATATTTCTCAGCAAGCTGCTAAAGAGCAAAAATCTGATCTGTATATCTCATGCATGGCGTAAAACTCAGTTTTGTTCATTGTTGCTTCTTTTAACTTCTTTTAACATTTTTTAAGTTGTCTCAGAATTTTCTCTGCCTCTTTTATTTAACTGTTCCCACATGTGTCACACTATGTCAAAATCAAGAGAAATAATAATTATTTTCTATTCTGTGTTGGTCATACCAACCCTAGAATATTGCATCCAGTTCTGTCACCACATTTTAAGAAGAACATAGACAAAATGGAGCATGTCCAGAAGACAGCAGCCAACTTGATAAGAGCCTGGGAGGGGAAAAAAAAAATGGATCATTAGAGGTATTGTGTATATTTAGCCTGGAGAAGAGAAATGGAAGTATTTTATTTATTTATTTATTTATTTATCATATTGTGTAATTAAAATATATTATATTATTAGTATGATAGCAATCTTCAAGTATCTGAAGGTCTGTAATGTGGAAAACAGAATTGTTCAGTTTTTCTGGTAGACAGGACATTTTTCCTTTGAATTCCAGGGCATGGGATGATAAAACTAATGCTGGACTGAAATTTACTTTGGAATTTCTCAAACATTTTCTTCCCCTGCAAAAGAAGTTTCCATTTTTTACCTTATTCTTTGCTGGACATGAGAAAGTGCTTTAGAATTTCTTTCAAAATGGTGGAGATGCTTTGTGCCATAGTCCCATCACTCTAAAGCTTCCTTTGAATGCCCAAACTTATC